AGAATCAAGAACATGCCATAATGGTCTATAAAACTCTCAAGTGTAACTAGTTTTACCACCTCCCATTTGGGACTGGCTTATTCTGAACCATCCAGTTATATGGTAAGTGAAGTATAGATGTGGGCCCTCTAAAAGGGCACCTATAAGTAGCTAGTCAATTCACCATGAGAGGACTGCTTTTTAAGGGTGGAGTTACAGTAGGAAATTTACATATTGTGTCATCCTCAAAGGCAGGGAGCAAAAGCCAAACAATTGATTAAAAAGTGATTAAAAGAAAGGTGGGAATTAAACAATTTATATGTACTCATTGACAACCAAAAATCTGAAAAAACGTAAATCGTAAAAAACTTAGTAATTAGTTAGATGCCAAACAGTCAGTCCATGTAGCATGAAGACAATGCACATAAAAGTAATTTATGGGGTGTGGGTCCTGATAGCCGACCAGGAGGGTCACCTGGTGCTGGAGCTCCCCGGGGGAATCAACATAAGGAGCCCTAAAGCGGCACTGTCATGCTGAACTTACCTTTCCTCAATCTCTTCCTCTTCTCCACCTCTCTCAGGATCTGTTCTTCTTTTCTTCCTGTCTTCTTTAGTTTTCTTTAAAATCATAAGACAAAGTAGGGACTCTTTGCCTTATGGAGGATTCCTCCGCTTGACCAGCTCTGACCAGCGGAGGAGCAAAGTGTGCTTCATTTCCGCTGGCCAGAGCAATTTTCCCATGATCCTTACCTTCCCTCTGTGTTCCCACAATACTTCCTGTCACTTTACACAAAACTGCCGAATTGCGTTCTAACTGAATGAGAACAGTATGTTCGTTTGTTTTAGAAGCAATTCGTCACTTTATTCGGATCGGAATTTCATTCGAATGAATGAAACTCCGATCCTATTGAGTGCTGTGGCTGCATCTTGCAGCCGCTTAATAGATAACTCCCTAATTCCCACGGTATCAGGGAGTTATCTACTAAAAGGCTGAAAGACCTAAATTGGTCTTTCAGCCACATTTACTAATATCAAGTAAAAATTACTTAGTATTAGTAAATAATATGCCCCTACTCGCTATACCGCGAGTAGGGGCATGTCTGGTAAACAGTGAGTAGCCTGTGGCTGCCCAGTGTAAAAAAAAAAAAAAAAAACTATTGGCCCCCACCCCTAAATGACGGGTGGGGGCCCTAAAGTAAAATAAGGGGGGAGACCTAAAGTTCCCCCCCCGGCCGAACCCCTGCGCGGTGGGTGGGGGTCATAATGATAATGGGGGGGACCTACTGCCCCCCCGCTGGCCCCCACCCCTGGGCGGTGGGAGGGGGCCATAATGATAATGGGGGGGGACCTACTGTCCTCCCCCCGGCCCCCACCCCTGGGCGGCGGGTGGGCGCCATAAAGACAATGGGGGTGGCCTACTGTCCTCCCCCCACCGGCCCCCACCCCTGGGCTGCAGGTGGGGGCCATATTGATAATGGGGGGGAACCTACTGTCCACCCCCCTCCGGCCCCCACCCCTGGGCGGCGGGTGGGGGCCATAAAGCCAACGGGGGGGGATCTACTGTCCTCCCCCCTGGCCCCCACCCCTGGGCTGTGGGTGGGGGCCATATTGATAATGAGGGGGGCCTACTGTCCACCCCCCCTGCGGCCCCCACCCCTGGGCGGTGGGTGGGGGCCATAAAGACAATAGGGGGGGACCTACTGTCCTCCCCCCCGGCCCCCACCCCTGGGAGGCGGGTGAGGGTCAAATGATAATGAGGGGGGGGAACTGCTGTCCACCCCCCCCTTCGGCACCCACCCCTGGGTGGCGGGTGGGGGCCATAAAGATAATGAGGGGGGGACCTACTGTCCTCCACCCCCGGCCCCCACCCCTGGGCGGCAGGTGGGGGCCCTTAAGTCAATTCACCCCCACCCCCCAAGGTGACTAGGGGTCCCCAAGCCCCTAGTCACCCACCCCCCCACCCAAATAAAAAGTCCCTACCTACCCCCCTCACCCTAAAAAATAGTGAGGGGGAATAAAATAACTAACCTGTAAAATAAAATTAAACTTACCATTCGACGTCTTCTTTTTTCTCAAATCTTCATTTTTCAGCCCCAAAAAAGGCCAAATAAAAAACCATCATAATCGTCGAACTGAAAAATAAAAAAAATCCAGAGCGCAAAAAAAAAAAAACAGACGAAAAAGAAAAAACCTGAGCGAAAAAAAATAATCCATCTTCACCCATGAAGGGCTCCGCGCAGACTGAGCTCCGCAGGGCGGGGGAAGGCTTATAAAGCCTTGCCCCACCCTGCAATTAGGCTAAGAACATCATTACAGACTTCTCCCGCCTATATTCCAGCTCCTGGATACACGATGGGAGGGGGAGTGAGTAGTTTCTTTCAGTTACTTTAACAGTGATTCTCCATTTTGTTACACGTGGCATATAGCTGTTAACTGGCACAAAGGAAGTGGGGGAGGAGTTAGTAAAGGAAGCTGTTAACACAGGAATTTTGGTTACACGAGGTTTGCTTGATGGGAAGGGGGATGCTAGTAGGATGAAGAATTTACATAGGAAACAGCAACTGAACACATTGTAGGGGGGGAAGGGAATATTTACTCTAGCAGCCAGTTTTAACATAGTGAACACAGAATAAATAGACATTAGTAAATAGCCATTTTATTTTAATTCATCTGTCCATAACAGTCCCCCCTTAAAATGGCAATTTTTACTAAAAACTATTCTCTCTCATTCTAATACTGTCCCTATAGAAAAATAACAAAAGGCTATCTTGCACATCTGTCTGAACAGGCCTCGAACACTTCACTACGCGGGTAACCCGTAGCAGCTTGTCCACTACTTCTTCCCGCGACAGACTTCTGCCCGTAGAGACAGACGCTATCCCTGAATGTCCTTAAGAGGAAGTAGCTGTTGATTTAGTGCGGTGGGACTGTAAGGGTGTATGTGGTGTATCACGGTCGATGTCGTCAATCTCTTGGTGAAGGAAGGTCGGGGTGGTCTGGTCGATTGTCTGATCAACTGTCTTTTGTAGGCATTTCTTAAGACAGGGTAACACACAACAAACAAGAAGAGCGAGGATGATTATCGTTATTAAAATGGCAACACCTATTTGGGCCAGAGCACCTTGCCATCCAGTCATCCATCCAAACCATCTTTCCCATGGATCTGTGGCCCCAGAATTTCGTTTCAGTTCATTGGACAAACTCTTTAACTTTTCTATTGCCAACTAGTGATGTCGCGAACCCGAAATTTTCGGTTCGCGAACGGCGAACGCGAACTTCCGCAAGTGTTCGCGAACCGGCGAACCGCCCGAAACGCCATTGACTTCAATGGGGAGGCGAATTTTAAAACACACAGGGACTCTTTCTGGCCACAATAGGGATGGAAAAGTTGTTTCAAGGGGACTAACACCTGGACTGTGGCATGCCGGAGGGGGATCCATGGCAAAACTCCCATGGAAAATTACACAGTTGATACAGAGTCTGGTTTTAATCCATAAAGGGCAGAAATCACCTAACATTCCTAAATCACAATCAATATGGATTGACACCTGACATATGACATATTGACACCTTGACATATGGATTGACACCTGTCCTCAGAGCCCCTGATGCACACGGACACAGAGCAGAATAGAGACTGGTCCCCCTACATAGGGTCACTTGGCAGATATGGATTGACACCTGTCCTAAGGATCCCTGATACACACTGACACAGAGCAGAATAGGGACTGTTCCCCCTACATCGGGTCACTTGGCAGATATGGATTGACACCTGTCCTAAGGTTCCCTGATACACACTGACACAGAGCAGAATAGGGACTGGTCCCCCTACATCGGGTCACTTGGCAGATATGGATTGACACCTTGTTACAAACTGCTATTTGTAACGGGCCCTTTAAATGGCAAATTGCCCTGCTTCCCTGGGTTGTGGAGAAGCCTATTTGCCAGCCTCCTCCCGCATGACTATGGCCCCTGGGAGATTGTGAAAATGTATGCACTTTTATTTGGTGTGTATGGCCCTTTAAGACTGTCGGTGGGCATATTGGGGCTTATGGACTCTTTATGTGACTGGTGCTGGCCCTTTAAACACCTTTTTTGGGACATCAGGAAGATTGGGACACTGCCCCTTTTGGTTATGTTTATGTTTTAAGTGTGCTGATTCCAAATATGTAATTATGAAGATGGGATGTGTAGTTTTAAAGTTACAGGGTATGGCTAAAAACTGTATTTTTACTGCCTGTGTTTAATTATGTTAATCTCTTCCCAAACGTCATTTCGTTCAAAGTGGAGAGAATGTTAAAAAAATATATTTTTGTTCGGAGTGTGAGAAATGCTTTTCAGCCGCTTCTAATCTTAAGCATCATTTGAGGAGCCATACAGGAGAGAAACCTTATTTGTGGTGTGTTTAGTATTGTTCTGATCAGTTTAATACCTTCCGCGTCTCCTATCAGTGGACGTGTATATGGCAGCCATTTTAGGAACCGTACACCTGGGACCCGAGCAAGGTCACCTCGTTCAACAGGCTTGCAGCGTATCCTCCAGGAAGAAGAGCCTGAACCCTTACCGGCTGCACGTGTCTTACCTGTACATGGAAGCTGCTGTGGTTCCTTGATGAGCCAGCTGCCCGTGAGTTAACATGTCCCGTGGAGAAGCACTCTGTCCTGTAAAGCCTCACCAAAAAAAAGGAGTGGTGTGTTTATTATTGTTCTGATCAGTTTAATACCTTCCGCGTCTCCTATCAGTGGACGTGTACACGGCATTGATTTTATCTAAGCCGTAAACTTTTGCACAGCGAAGTATATTCACTGCCATTGAAAAGGAGTGCATGGCGGTGGTGTGGGCCCTCAAAAAGCTGCAACCTACTTGTATGGAAAACCGTTTACCTTACTCACAGATCACATTAAATTTGGTGCACT